TCATCTTACCCCATGAACTAACATTCAAAGCAATATATCTTGATAAATGCTAATGTGGATGTAAGGGAAAGGAAGCACTTAATCATTGTTCCTGAGAATACAGACTAGTATAACTACTGTGGATATCACTATGGGGGAAGTCATAAAAACATTATCTATCATAGGTCTATGCTTCTCCTTGGAATATATTCAAAAGGCTCCTATAACTCAAAATAAATCAGTAGCTCTCCTATATGCAAATGATAAACAGGCTGAGAAAGAAAGCACAGAAACATCACCATTTACAATAGTTACAAATAACATAAAATATCTTGGGGTAACTCTAACCAAACAAGTGAAGGACAAAAATTGTAAATCTTTGAAGAGAGAAACTGAAGAAGATATCAGAAAATAAAAAGATCTATGCTCACGAATTAGTAGGATTAACATAGTGAAAAGGGCAATATTACCAAAAGCAATCTACAAATTCAATGATTTACCCATCAAAATCCCAACACAATTCTTCACATTTCTCAAAAGAAAATCAAAAAACCCAGGAGAGCTAAAAAAAACAATCCTGTACAATAAAGGAACTTCTAGAGACATCACATCCCTGACTTCATATTGAAGACACTCATATTAATCCACATACCTATGAACACCTGAATTTTGACAAAGAAGTAAAAAATATACAATGAAAAAAAGAAAGCATCTTCAACAAATGGTGCAAGCATAACTGGTGTCAACACAGATCCACATCTATTAAACTGCACAAAACTCAAGTCCAAGTGGATCAAAGACTTCAATATAAATCCAGTTCCACTGAACCTGATTGAAGATAAAGTGGGAAATAGCCTTGAGTGCATTGGCACAGAAGACCACTTCCTAAATATAATACCAATAGTTCAGACACTGAGAGCAACAATTAATAAATGGGACCTCCTGAAACTGAAAAGCTTCTGTAAGGCAAAGGACACTGTCAATAAGGCAAAACAGCAGCATAGAGAATGGGAGAGGATCATCAGCAACCCCACATCTGAAGGAGGACTGATCTCCAAATGATATAAAGAACTCAACTAGACACCAAAATACCAAATAATCCAATTTAAAAATCAGGTACAGATCTAAAAAAAAAGAATCCTGAACAGAAGACTCTCAAGTGACCAAAATAAACTTAAAGAATAGTTCAATATAATTTGTCATCAAGGATATGGAAATCAAAGTGATTTTGAGATGATATCATCTTCCACCTGTCAAAATGGCTAAGATCAAAAACACTGAAAAAAGCATCTTCAACAAATGGTGCTGGCATAATTGGAGACTGGCATGTAGAAGAATGCGGATTGATTCATGTTTATCGCCATGCACAAAACTTAAGTCCAAATGGATCAAAGACCTCAACATAAATCCAGCCACACTGAACCTCTTAGAAGAGAAAGTGGGTGGTACCCTTGAACGAATTGGTACAGGAGACAGCTTCCTGAACATAACACCAGTAGCACAGACAATGAGATCAACAATTAATAAATGGGACCTACTGAAACTGAGAAGCTTCTGTTAGGCAAAGGACACAGTCAGCAAGACAAAAAGGCAGCCCACAGAATGGGAAAAATATTCACTAATCCCACATCTGACAGAGGGTTGATCTCCAAAATTTACAAAGAACTCAAGAAGCAAGTCTCCAAAACAGCAAAGGACCCAATTAAAAAGTGGGCTGCAGAACTAAATAGAGAGTTTTCAATAGAGGAATCTAAAATGGCTGAGAGGCACTTGAGAAAGTGCTCAACATCCTTAGCCATCCGGGAAATGCAAATCAAAACAACTCTGAGATACCATCTCACTCCTGTCAGAATGGCTAAAATCAAAAACACCAATGACAATTTATGCTGGAGAGGATATGGTGAAAGGGGGACACTCCTCCATTGCTGGTGGGAGTGCCAACTGGTTCAGCCACTTTGGAAATCAGTATGGAGATTCCTCAGAAAAATGGGAATAAACCTACCACAAGACCCAGCAACTCCACTCTTAGGCATATATCCAAAAGATGCCCATTCATACAACAAAGATGTCTGTTCCACTATGTTCATAGCAGCTTTATTTGTAATAGCCAGAACTTGGAAGCAACCTAGATGTCCCTCACCCGAAGAGTGGATAGAGAAAATGTGGTACATCTACACAATGGAGTACTATTCAGCAGAAAAAAATAATGGAATCATGAGATTCGCAGGCAAATGGATGACACTAGAAGAAACCATCCTGAGTGAGGTAACCCAGTCACAAAAAGAGAAACATGGCATGTACTCTCTCATATATGGATTTTAGACATAGATCTGGGGAGTGCCAGCCTACAATCCTATGGCCAGAGAGTCTGGGAAACAGAAACTTTATTTAGTGGCTGATCGAAGAAGAGGCAGACTCCCTTGGTTAAGTACTGAGCTGAACTCAAGAAAGCCAGTAACAGAGAGGGAGGACTGATGATCAAAGGGATTAAGACTGGGCTGGTTTAACCTCCAGAAACAGCTGACCAGACAAAGGTTAACTCTTGAATCCCAGGCATAAGCCTGGGAATCCAGCATGGAACTGATCAAGAACCCCTGAATCTGGGTGTCAGTGAAGAGGCCTAGGGAATCTATTGAGCCTTGGGCAGCAGATCAGTACCCATCCCAAGTATACACATGGACTTTGGACTCCCATAGAACAATGTGAGGTGTACTCTTCACCCTGAACTCTTGGGGAAGGGTCTAGGCCCTGTCCTATATGAAATGACAGACTATGCACACCCCCATGGAGGGCCTCACCCTCCCTGGGGAAATGAGGGGATAACGGGGGGGTTGGGGGGAGGGCACAGGAGGAGGGGAGGGAATGGGAGAGGGACCTGGAACTGACTTGTGAAGCAACCTCGTTTCTTATCTAAATTTAAACTGGAAAATAAAATTAAAAAAAAAACACTGATGACAGCTTATGTTGGTGAGGATGTAGAGCAAGAGAAACACTCCTCCACTACTGGTGGGAGCACAAAGTTGTACAGCCACTTTGGAAATCAATATGGCAGTTTCTAAGAAAATTGGGTATCAATCTGCCTTAAGATCCAGCTATGCCGATCTTGGTCATATACAAAAAGGATGTTCAATCATACCCAAGGACACTTGCTCAACTACATTCATAGCAGCACTATTTGTAATAGCCAGAACCTGAAAACAACACAGATGCCCATCAACTGAAAAAAGGGATTCATTTGCACAATGGAGTATCACTCAGCTGTAAAAAAACAATGACCTCATGAAATTTGCAGACAATGGGACTAAAAAAATTATTCTCAGTGAAGTAACCCAGATCCAGAAAGACAAACATGGTATGTAGTCACTCATAAGTGAATATTATAAATAAAGAATAGGATAACCAACCTACAATCCATAGCCCCAGAGTGGCTAGATAATAAGGAGGGCCCAAAGAAGAGTACATGGCTTTTTCTTTGAAGGGGAAATAAAAGAGATCTCCTGGGTAGATTGAAGGCCTGAAGGTTTGAAAATGGGAACTTGAGGAGGGAGGTTGGGTGGGTTGGGCATGGGAAGGAGGGGGAGAGTAAGGAAAGAGATGTGTTGATGAAAGGACATTTCTGAGTTAGGGAGAAACCTTCTGCCAGTGAAATTCCCAGGAATCTACAAGGATAACCCCAGCTAAGACCCCTAGCAATAGTGGAGAGGATGCCTGAAATGGCTATCCTAATTGCCATCAGAGAGTCTTTATCCAGTAACTGATGGAAGCAGATATAGAAACCCATAACTGAGCACTGGGGTAACCAGAGGAGGGAGGAGGGAGGAGGGATTTATGAGCTGGGGGTGGAAGGTGGTGGTGGTGGTAAAGGTCATAATGGGGAACCCACAGAGACAACTGACCTGAGCTTTTGGAATCTCACCAACTCTAGACCAACAGCAAGGGAGCCTGCATAAAACCAAACTATATCCTTTGCACATTTGTGAGAGTTCTGTAGCTTAGCCTGTTTGTAAGGCACCTAGCAGTAAGAGAGGACCTGTTCCTGATACTTAGCTGGTTTTGGGGAACCCCATACTGAATTATCTATCTCAGCTCAGCCCTGCCTCAAATTGATATTCCAGGCTTTGTTCAAGTCATGGGATGCCTACACCGTTAGGAATGGAAACAGAAGAGTGGATGGAGGGAGGGGTAAATGGGAGGCTATGCAGGGAATGGGAAAGGAAGAGGGAGGGAAAGTTGTAGTCAATATGTAAAATAAATAAAATATTAGATAGATAGATAGACAGATAGATAGATAGATAGATAGATAGATAGATAGATAGATAGATAAGCAGACTATCTTTTTTATAACAACCATCTGACCTGGGGTGAGGAAACACTTTGTTGTAGTAAAATTGGATGATCTTAAAACATTTCAAGACTCTGAGATTGTCCTATTTTCCTCCATAATAGACACTGGCCCCATGTTAATATTGGATACATGAATTGGCAAAGTCCAAAATGTAATATGTTGTAAATATTCAATATAAATGGGTTTTTTTATTTTTCGAGACAAGGTTTCTCTGTATTTCTTTATAGACTGTCCTGGAACTCACTCTGTAGACCAGGCTGGCCTCGAACTCACAGAGATACACCTGCTTCTACCTCCCGAGTGCTGGGATTAAAGGCGTGCGCCACTAACACCCGGCTGATACATGGGTTTTTAATAAGGAAAAATATTTGAGCAACACAATTAATACATGTTAATTTTGTAGAAACAAGTAAATATCAGCATAAGCAGTCATATTACAGTATACTCATAAAGTATATCTCATGTTCTTTTGTTATAGTAATTCCTTGTCTAATATCTGTCATTAAAATCATTGACTGTAATGTGAATTAAATATGTAAATAATTATACTAGCATGTTATAATGATAATAGTATTGAATCTTAACTAGCAATGAATCACCAGAAAGGTGTAACATGTGTATGGAACACATTACATATCCAATAGACAGGCCTGCTGTGTGACATTCTACGGGGAAACTGAAAGATGAGTAGAGAAGAAATGATCATGATTTTGCAGAAGAGAATGTCCCAAAGACTCTTTTCACGGCCCCCAGGACTTCCTTATTTCTCAGGCTGTAGATGATGGGGTTGAGCATGGGGGTGAGGATAGTGTAGAAGACAGCCAGAATCTTATCTTCTGCGGGGGAACGGAGACTCCTCGGTCGAAGATAAGTGTAGACAAAAGGTGCATAGTAAAATGTCACCACAGTTAAGTGAGTTGAACACGTGGTGAAAGCCTTTTTCTTTCCCTCTTTTGAGCGCATATGGAAGACAGCAAAAAGGACCCGTCCATAGGAAGCTGTGATGCCAAAGAAAGGAAATAGGAGAAACAGGCTTGTGCTCACAAACACCATGTACTCATAAACCCAAGTGTCCATACAGGCCAGGGGCAACATGGCTGGGACATCACAGAAGAAATGGTTAATGGACCTCGAATGACAGTAAGGAATATGAAGGGCATAGACTGTATGTGCTAAAGAGTTGATGGAGCCTAATGTCCAGGACCCTATGATCATCTTCAGACACATCATTTTACTCATACGAATGGGATAATGAAGAGGGTGGCAGATGGCAACAAAACGGTCATAGGCCATGGAGGCTAAGAGCAAGCCCTCAGAACCTGCCATGGTCAGAAAGAAAAAGGATTGCACTCCACAGCCCAGTAAAGAAATGCTTTTCTGACCAGAGAGGAAGTTGAATGCCATCTTGGGAACAGTGGTTGAGACATCCATCAGGTCCATGAGAGAGAGCTGACTTAGGAGAAAGTACATGGGGGTATGGAGCCTGGGATCCACACGAATGAGGTGGATCATTGTTGAGTTGCCAACCAAGGCCATAGAGAAGACAAAGATGATGAGCAGCAAAAGCAGAAGGCCTGTCTGGTTTTGTGGAAACAACCCTAACAAAGTGAAATCACTTGAGCTCTGGTTCCATTTCTCCATGAAAAGTTATTGCTTTATCTTTTGTGAAAAAAAGTGACCTGAAAGCAAAATACACCTATCATATGAAGTAGAACAGGAAAATAAAGAGAAACTCGATTGTTATGAATACTTGCACTGAATCATTCATCATGTAATACCATCCTTCTGCTGAACTTATTTTGAAATCTGAGCTAAATTTTTCTTCCCTCTTCCCTCTGGCCAAGTTCTCAATTTAGAGACACCTACATGGCTTTATCAAATCAAGCGTAACAATGGAGTAAGACATCTCAGACATTTCCTCCCAGATAACTCTATGCAAGACCATCACTGAAGATCATCAACTCACCTTACAAAACTACGAAAGCCTCTTTCTTCTGCATGACTTCCTTCCTGGCTGTTTTCCCATAACTTGCCATACAGCAGACAGATCCCAGGGATCTGCTCCTAGGTGTATTGCCTCTCAAACTCTCTAATGAATCCTTGCTTTTGCCGAGACTAACATCCCAATTCACTTTCCTAGAACTAAAATGTTTTGGGTGTGCTCATATCCACACCAATCATAAGATACTATTTGTGTTTACTCATTCCATAAACTCCATAATCAATGATCGGTTTGTATGAATTTTATAGATATTAACTGAATACAATGAAACATTTCATAAGTAAGACATAATAACTGATATTCATTGACTAATGCATATTTTGTTATATTTTACAATTGTAAATATTATACAAATATATTCAAATAGTGTTTAAGTGTTGTTTTATGCATTGCTTTCCTCCCTTACTCTGAAGTTCTGGTTTTTGTCCTCCATTGGCAGGAGTGAGAAGCCCTTAAAAACCTGTTCATTGGGGAAGAAATGTGTTGCTGTGCATTATTTACTCTGCTCCCCAATATTTTAAAATTGCTTGTTTATTTATATGGACTTGTATGGAAGGTAGAGTACCACTGGTAGAATCAGTTTCCTCCTTCTTTCCTGAGTATCAAACTCAGATCATCAGGTTGGAGGCCAGGGCCATCTCAGCAGCCCAAATAATTAATTTTTGTGCCACATATATTTTACTTACACACTTTAGACTTATTCAACTGGGGGAAATAAAACAAAATCATTAGCCATATTAAGAACAAATAAATTAAAACAAAAATAAAATTGATAATTATTACATATATGCATGTGCATATTTATATATTCCTGAATATACAAATGCAATATCTTTAGTCTGTATCATGTTACAGGCATGGATACATTTCAAGAATGATCATTTGGTATTGAATCATAACTAACTGAATTTGCAAGAGAGCAAGAAGCAAGAGCCTGGATGAGGAAGTGGAAAAGTGGATATTATATGACTATCTTATAATTCCAAAATTTAAAATATTATCTTAAAAAGTGAAATGAATCAGTGTTCTGCCAGGATGATGTTTCCTATTTTCTATGGCCAGCCATCAGGATGTGATTATCTCAGTAATGGTGTCTCCTACTATTCAGTACTATTTCACCTGACTCTTCTCCATCCACTACCAAGCATGCAAAATCCATAATTACAATTTATTATATCTCCAATACATGTTTTCTTTCTTCTCTCACCTGTCCTCGGCATAAGGGTTCATGCTTTACCTGTGTGTGCCCTTATATCTGGGAGAAATAGTTAAGACATGGCCAGAGAAGGTTACTGGCCTGGGTACTAATGTTGGATTACTGATTAAATTTCAATACTAAAGAACAGCAAATGGTACTTTGTGAAAATTATTCACATGTGGTAACAAATCATTTAGCATTCCATATGTATGTGGTTAGCACAAAAAGCAATTGCAAACTAGAGATTGTCACATTCAGTGGGGATACAATTTTATACTTATCTAACCAAGAGATATTGACAATGAGATATACATATACAAGAGCATGGCAGATGCATAGGACCACTTGGCATAGAGTAAATATGGGACAAGAAGAATCCTGTGCTTCCTTACTACCTTTTGAAAACAAGTGGTTATAAGCTGACCAATAAGCCTGAAGTGTAAATAAAAACCACAATCACCAGCTATATTTTATACCTTAAAAAGTATCTTCCCTGTTCCCAGACATTTGCATACCCTGTTCATTGACTCAAACATGATTATGTAATCTACAGAACAAATTAAGATGATGAATAAAAGAACAGATCAATAAACTCATATGATCCAATTTCATATAATTAGTATTCATATGAGAAAAAGCATGGTACAAAAAGTAAAAGAGACAGCTTGATTGGAGCCTGTCCTGAGCCACTGGGTGTTTGGTTCTATGTAAGCAGGTCTTTGTGATGCCTACTAATGAACAAGGAACAGAGTTGGGAAGGAAAGTCAATGAGAACAAAAATAATGAGAATGCTGATTGTAAAGGGCTGGTGTGTGGTAAGTTGAGTATGGAGAAAAGGACTTGGAATGTGATCTGGATAAGACGCTAGAACAGGGAGAGTGATGTGCTCTTAGATTTCTTGACCTCATATTGGATGCTCTTCATAATGTAGCTGCTGTCGGGACTGTGCAGGGAAGACTACTTAGAAGAATTAAGAATATCTGATAACTTATGTGGATTTAAAAGCAGTCACATCTTACAATACAACTGATGCCTGAGTACAATAGGAGAGTGGGATGCTCACTTCGATATAGGATCCTGTCTGATGATTCAGTGATGTCTACACACCGGCACAGCACTTACATACAGCAGACTAATATCAAACTGTATGCCTGTTGAAATGAATAGAATATTATTGTTAGAGTTGATGAATTACAATTGTTTGTACTGACAAAAGTGCCAACATCATTTTTATCACAGATCTATTTGTTCTGTGATATTTCCTGCCAGAATGATAGTTTCTAAACATTGGAAATAAAGCATTACTGCAGTAACTGTCCCCAAAGAATGTTTATGAACCACTGAGAAGTGATCTGAGAGCATACACCTGTGTGTTCCTTTTATGGAAACCAGACTTAAAGTGTAAGTTTAGTACAGACTCTGTGATCTAGGCTGGAAACTGGAAACACCTCCTCATGGAATGGCAGCAATGTTGCTTCCTCTCCAGCTTGTGATAAAGGATATAAAAGCAAATGCACCTAAGAGGCTCCTCTTTATTCACAAATCATTATGCATAAGACTGATTTTTATATGATATTGTCAGCCAGAAAGATAAAATGTTAGTGTGCCCCTTGATCATGCTGAAAGTTATAAAAATCATAGGACTACTTAAAGCTCCATCATGAGGAGTTCTATTATACAGGGCTGCTAAAAATTCAGGATATTCGATTAATTTTGCCAAAGCTATAGGTATCTAAACACAGAGAGACACACAGCAAGAAATCTAGAGAGCACAAGACCATGCAAGTAATTGAACATCAGCATCTCCACATAGTCTTAAAAACACAATGGGACTCTGGAGATCATGAACTTCATTGAGCTGTCTGCAGCCAATATATACTAGGTCCTCTAGAAGTATCTGTCTGCTTCCTCCATTCCACATCTTAGCTTTTTAGGTACCTCAAGACCAAAAAAAATCAGCCTCTTATTTAAAAATATCATATTGTAAAAATCATGCATGTTTACATCAATTCTCTTTGTATTTTAGACTAACATGAAAAGCATACATCTGTTTTAGCTATTCTAAACGAAACCAACTGTGCTTGATAGAATCTTCTGGACTTAGTTCATCCAATGATCTTATACTTGTGTTCGTATTTGTGAGAAAAATTACCTTTACAATACAGCCGTTCCATGTGTACTGTCTGTTGGTCTTGAGAAGTTTACACCTTTCCCTCTTTCTTCACATTCCCTGCCACAAGATCATCTCCCTTGCAGCAGCCCCAATTGAAGGCTGAAAATCTGCTTCTCACACAAGAGTCACTTCTTCCAGCAAAATAACAGGAAAGAAACTGTCAAGAATTACCAACTATCATCTTATTCACGATGAAACCAAGAGAACATCAGTAACCCTCCTGAAATACATACAAGTTCATTGATCAGCTAAAACATTCTTTGCTAATTATTTTTAAATGAAACACAAGAGACATTTTTAGATTCATTTTCCACAGACTAAATCAGTGAAAGACAGGATGGTAAATTCTGTATTTTATATGCACAAACTTGGATCAGCAAGCCTTAGATGTTCCTTCTTGTCCTCTAATTGATCCCTCATGTCTAAATCTACAGAGACAAAACCTTGGTCATTTCTCCTGGCATGGTTTCCCTAATGTACCTCAGTTCTGCACTTACAGAAACAAATACACAGCAACCGCCACTCCTGAAATCACAGGATGCCTGAACATTGACAAAGAAAAGTGACTGCATTATTCCAGAATATGACGTGAAATCTTTAAGTGACTTTAGTAAATATGTATTAATGTCTCTCATTTTTAAAAACTGGCCCAAGAGGTCAGCTCTAAAACACTGATCTAGGCAGAAATTCTATTTTAGTCATAGGTTGATGCACAGGACCTGTTGTAAAGTGACTTAAGGCCATCCAAGGTGACAGATAAACCACTGCTAAGAAAAATAAATTCACCAAATTTCAAAATAAATAAAAAATTGTGGCCTAATGTTTAAATTTGCTACAGTTTGAAGGATGTTCCAGGAGCTACTAGGGGGATGTATGCCAGTTGCATGTGGAATGGCTATATAGAAGCATAAATGAGGAAACGTAGCCCTACTATGTTACTCAATCCACAATTAAGTATATTATTGAATATTTAGAATATTTATCATATTTTCCCTGAGTCTCCATATATAAATAGAGGAGAGCTTGCTATTTTTTTTAGTTAGAAACAATCATTTTACATATAAATTGTCCTATTCCCTCTCCCTCACATCCTCCCATGCCCCCTACCAACTGTCCCCAATCCACCACAACCTGCTCCCCAAGTATGGTGAGGCCTTCCATGGGGGATCATCAAATTCTGTCACATAATTTGGGGGTGGGCCTAGGCCCTCCTCCCTGTATCTGGGCTGAAATAGTATCCTTCCATAGGGAATGGGCCACCAGAAGTTCATTTGTGCACTAGGGATAAATACTTGTTCCACTGTTAGAGGTCCCATGTACTGCCCAGGCCTCCTAACAGGCACCCACATTCAGAGGGTTTGGTTCAGTCCAATGCTGGTTCTCCAGCTTTATGACTAGGGTCCCTGTACTATGACTAGGTCAGGTCACCTGGTTGTGTAGGTTTCTCCAGCACTGTCTTAACTCCTTTGTTTATCCCTCCTCCCTTTCTACAACTGGATTCCAGGAGTATGGCACAGTGTTTACCTGTGGGTGCCTGCTTATGCTTCCATCAGTTACTGGATAAAAGCTCTAGGATGGCAATTAAGGTAGTCATCAATCTCATTATAGGGGAAGGGCATCAAAAGAAACCACGCCACTACTACATAGATTCTGAGTTGGGGTCATCTTTGTGGATCTCTGAACATTTACCTAGTGCCAGATTTCTCTTTAAACCTATACTGACTCACCCTATTAAGGTATCTCTTTTCTAGCTCTCTTCTATTCCTCCCCTGTTTCAGTCTTCCTGATCCCTCTTGTTCCCCCCCCTCCTCTTCTCCCCTTCTCTTTTTACTACCTCTCTCTCCTCCTTCCCGCCACATTCTCCCAATTTGCTCAGGAGTTCTTGTCCCTTTCCCCTTCTTTGAGGGACCATTTATGGTCCCTCTTGGGGTCCTCCTTGTTTCCTAGTTTCTCTGGCAGTGTGGACTGTAGGCTGGTAGTCCTTTGTTCTATGTCTAATATCCATATACGAGTGAGTACATCCAATGTTTGTCTTTCAGTAACTGGGTTACCTCACTCGGGATGGTTTATTCCACTTCCATCCATTTGGCTGCCAATTTCAAGATTTCATTGTTTTTTTTTCTTCTGAGTAATATTCCATTGTGTAAATGTACCACATTTTCTCCATCCATTCTTCAGTTGAGGGGCATCTATGTTGCTTCCAGGTTCTTGCTATTACAAACAATGCTGCTATGAACATAGGTGAACATATGTCCTTGTATGAATATGCATTCTTTGGGTATATGAGCAAGACTGGAATTGCTGGATCATGAGGCAGATTGATTACCATTTTCCTAAGTAACTGCTATACTGATTTCCAAAGTAGCCCCACAAGTTTGCACTCCAACAAGCAATGGAGGAGTGTTCCCCTTTCTCCACATCCTCTCCAACACAGACTGCCATTGGTGTTTTTGATTTTAGTCATTCTGGCCAGTATAAGATGGTATCTCAGAGTTGTTTTGATTTGCCTTTCCCTATTAGCTAAGGATACTGAACACTTTCTTAAGTATCTTTCAACCATTTTAGATTCCTCTATTGAGAATTATCTATTTAGTTCTGAACCCCAGTTTTAATTGAATTGTTTGATGTTTTGGTGACTACCTTATTAAGTTCTTTGTATATTTTGGAAATAAGCCCTCTGTCAGATGGAGAGTTGGTGAAGATATCTTCCCAATGTGTAAGCTGCCTTTTTGTCTTGTTGAATGTGTCCTTTGCCTTACAGATGCTTCTCAGTTGTCCCATTTATTAATTGTCAATCTCAGTGTCTGTGCTAGTAGTTATGTTCATGAAGTGATAGCCTGTACCAATTCATTCAAGGGTACCACTTTCTCTTCTAAGAGGTTAAGTGTGGCTAGATTTATGTTGAGGCCTTTGATCCATTTGGACTTAAGTTTTATGCATGACAATAGATATGAATCTATCTGCACTCTTCTACATGTACACATTCAGTTATGCCACCACCATTTCTTGAAGATGCTTTCTTTTTCCATTGTATAGTTTTTGCTTCTTTGTCAGAAATCAGGTGTTCATAGGTGTATATTTAGAAAAACCTAACTGAGCAGTAAGTTTTGACTATTATAGGTAACTATCTACATTACATTTTTAAATGAGTTATACAAACATAATATCTAAACAAGAGGAGAAATATCACAAAATACTCAAACTGTTCAAGACCAGAAAATGGAAATAGGTATTACAGACCCAAGATTCACCAGAAAAATAAACGAGAAAGAATACAGAATGTCAGGCATTGGAGATATGATAAAATAAATGGATACAATAGTCAATGAAACTATTAAATCAAAAAAGAAAAATCCTGACACTATGAAACTACCAAACCTAAGAAAAATAGGAGTAGAAGAATAACCCCTATTCAGAGGCACTGAAAATATTTTCAACAAAATAATAGAAGAGAATTTTTCCCAGCCCAAAGGAGGAGTTGACTACAGAGGTACAAGAAGCTTATAGAACACCAAATAGATTGGAACAGATAATAAAGTCCCATCACTACATAATAATCAAAACACTAAACATACAAAATGAAGAAAAATATTAGAACCTGCAAAGGGAAAAGGACCAGTAACTTATAAAAATAGACATATTATAGCTACATCCAACTTCTCAATATAGTCTATAAAAGCCACAAGGACCTGGATAGATGTCCTATAGATTCTAGGAGATCACAAATACAGATACAGACTTGTATAGTCAGCAAAACTTTTAATCACAGTAGATGGAGAAAACAAGACATTTCATGACAAAATCAAATTTAAACATTATGTATCTTTAAATGCAGCCCTATTTTTCTTCTTTTTTTCTTTATACATGTCAATCCCAGTTCCCTCTCCCCCCCTCCTCCCGCACTCCCCCATACCTCCCCCAGCCTCCCATCCTATTGCCAATTCTTTCCACATAGGGGATATCTAGAGTTTGTCATTTCACTCAGGGTAGGGTCCAGGCACTCCCCTAAGAGTCCAGGCTGAGAGATCATCACTCTTTGTGCTATGGGCACACGATGACTGTTTGTATTCCAAGGATAGACACTGATCCACTGCTCAGGGCGCCATAGGTTGCCCAGGCGTTCTCACTGACACTCACATTTGGGGGGGGTCCAGATCAGTCCCATGCTGGCCTCCCCGCTGTCTGTCTGGGGTCCAAGAGCTCTCCCCTGTTCAGATCAGCTGTCTCTGCTGGTTTTGCCAGCACATTCTTTGCCAATTTGCTCATCACTCCTCTCTCTCTGTCACTGGGTTCCTTGGGTTCAGTTCAGTGCTTAATTGTGGGTGTTTGCCTCTGCTTCCATCAGTCACTGGATGAAGGCTCCAGGATGGTTATAGACATCAAGTTCATTATCAGGAATGGGCATTCGAGGTGGTCTCTCCACTATTGCTTAGCTTGCCAATTGGTGTCATCCCTTTAGATCACTAGAGGCCACTCTGGTGCCTGATCTGTCTTCTAACCTATGATTCCCTCTTCCCCCTCTATATAAAATACTAGAAAGAAAACTTTAACCCAAAGAGGTTAACTACATCCACGAAAACACAAGAAATAAATCATCTCACACCAACAAAACCAAATGAAAAGAAGCAAGCACACACCAGCAACAATGACAAAATTATAGGAATTAATTATTTATCATTGATATATCTCAATATCAATGGACTCAATCACCACTAAAAAGACACAGACTAAGAAAATGTATGAAAACACAGAATTCATCCTTTTGCTGCATACAAGAAACACACCTTAACATCAAAGATAGGTATTATATCAGAGTAAATGGTTGGAAAAAGAATTTCCAAGAAGCAAACTTATATATCAATCCCAACTCCCTCTCCCTCCCTTCCTCTCCCACCTTACTTCAATCCCCCCATCCTTCCCCCAATCCCCACTCCACTGTCCAAGGAGGGCAAGGCCCTTCATGGGGGATCTTGAGAGTCTGTCATATGATCTGGGGACGGGCCTAGCCCCTCCCCCATGTGTCCAGGTGGAGACAGCATCCCTTCACGTGGAATGGGCTCCCAAAGTCCATCTGGATGACAAGGCTAAATGCTGATCTATTGCTTGAGGCCCCAAAGAATTCTGAGGCCTCCTCACTGACACCCATATTCAGGGGGTCTCGATGATCCCCATGCTAGCCTCTCAGTCATCAGTCTGGGGTCTATGAGCTCCCTCTTGTTCAGGTCAGCTGTTTCTGTGGGTTTGACCCACCAAGTCCTAACCACTTTATCACTCCTCCTTCTCTGCAACTGGGTTCCAGGAGTTTAGTTCAGTGTTTAGCTGTGGGTGTCTGCCTCTGCTTCCTTCAGCCACTGGATGAAGGATGGTATACAAGGAAGTCGTCAATAACATTATCAGGGAAGGGTATTTAAGGTAGTCTCTCCACTATTTGTTAGATTGCCAGTTGGTGTCATCTAGTACCCTCAGAAGATTTTGTCCTGTTCCCCTTCTCTGGGTTACCATGCATATCTCTCTTAGGGTCCTCCCTGTTTCCCAGACTCTCTGGCTGTGGGATTCTAAGCTGGCACTCCCCCGTTTCATGCCCAAATCCATATATGAGTGAGTACACACCACACTTGTTTTTTTGTGACTGGGTTACCTCACTCAGGATAGTTTCTTCTAGTGCCATCCATTTGCTGCAAATTTCAAGATTCCATCATTTTTTTCCACTGAGAGTAGCAAACACTTGAATGAGTTGTAAATATTCAATATATTGGCTTTTAATAATGAATAGACTGAAGGCAAAACAATTGAATAAAGCAGTTAATTCATGTTAATTTTGTAGAAACAACATGTCATGATCAGGACAAATCATATCCATATTACAGTACATTCATAAAATATATCTCAGGTTGTAGTAGTATAGTACTGTACTATATAAAATCTGTCATTAAAATCATTTATTGTAATGTTGTGAACTAAAAATGTGAATAATTATACCAGCATGCAATGATGAACATATTGTTTAATCTTAACTACTAATGAATCACCAGAAAGTTATGACGTGTGTGGCACACATTATATTTCCAATACATAGCACTACTCCAGAAGTGAAGGAGGAGCAGTGAAGAAAATATCAAGTTTTCACGAAAGAGAACATCCCAAAGACTCTTGACATGGCCCCCAGGACCTCCTTATTCCTCAGGCTGTAGATGATGGGATTGAGCATAGGGGTGAGGATAGTATAGAAGACAGCCAGAATCTTATCTTCTGTGGGTGTACGGAGACTCCTCGGCCGAAGGTAAGTATAAGCAAAAGGTGCATAGTAAAATGTCACCACAGTTAAGTGAGTTGAACACGTGGTGAAAGCCTTTTTCTTTCCCTCTTTTGAGTGCATATGGAAGATAGCAAAGAGGACCCGTCCATAAGAAACTGTGATGCCAAGGAAAGGAAGTGGGAGAAACAGGCTTGTGCTCACAAACACCATGTACTCATAAACCCAAGTGTCCATACAGGCCAGGGGCAACATGGCTGGGACATCACAAAAGAAATGGTTAATGGACCTCGAATGGCAGTAAGGAATGTGAAAGGCATAGACTGTATGTGCTAAAGAGTTGATGGAGCCTAATGTCCAGGACCCTATGATCATCTTCAGACACATCATTTTGCTCATGCGAATGGGATAATGAAGGGGGTGGCAGATGGCAACAAAACGGTCATAGGCCATGGAGGCTAGGAGCAAGCCCTCAGATCCTGCCATGGTCATAAAGAAAAAGGCTTGAACTGCACAGCTCAGTAAGGTAATGCTTTTCAGGCCAGAGAGGAAGTTGAATGCCATTTTAGGAACAATGGTAGAGACATCCATCAGGTCCATGAGAGAGAGTTGACTGAGGAGAAAGTACATGGGGGTGTGCAGCCTGGGATCCACACGAATGAGGTAGATCATTGTTGAGTTGCCAACCAAGGCCAGAGAGAAGACAAAGATGATGAGCAGCAAAAGCAGAAGGCCTGTCTGGTTTTGTGGAAACAACCCTAACAAAGTGAAATCACTTGAGCTCTGGTTCCATTTCTCCATGAAAAGTTATTTCTTTATCTTTCTTGGAAAGGGAACCTAAAAGCAAAATACACCTATCATATGAAATAGAACAGGAGAAGAAAGAGGAACTGGCTAGTAATGAATACTTGCACTGAATTGTTCTTCCTGCAATGCCGTCCTTCTGTTGAACTTATCTTGAAATCTGAGCTGAATGTTTCTTCCCTCTTGCCTCTGACCAAGTTATCAATTCAGATACCTGTATTGTCATTTTTAAATCAAGACTGGCAACATAAATAACATAGGTCAAACATTTCCTCCTAGATAACTCCATGTGCGGCCATAACTGAAGATGTTCAACCCACCTTCAAAACTAAGAAAGCCTCTACCTTTTGCATCACTTGCTTTTTGACCCTCTTCTCATAACTGGCCATACTGTAGACAGATCCCTGGGATCTGCTCCTTGGTACAGATCAAATTCTCAAATTCTCTAATGAATCTTTCCCTTTGCTTAAAATGTTCTCCACTCACAAGTCACTGTTCTGGAACTAAAAGGCTTTCTGTGTGCTCAGATCAACACTAATAGTAGGATGCTACTTGTGTGTACTCACTTCCACAGGGATGATTTGGTTTGTGTAGATTTTACAGATGTCAATAGAACACACACTCACAATGAAAGTGTTTACGCAATAAACACAATAAATTATACACATTGCCTGATGTGTATTTTGTTACACTTTACAATTGCAAATAATGTACAAATATGTTCACAAAGTATAAGTGTTGCTTGTATGCATTGCTTTCTCCTCTTACTTTAAATCTCTGGGTTTTTTTGTACTCCATTGGCAGGAGTGAGACTCCCTTCAAAACCTGTTCATTGGGGAAGAAAATGTGAAATAGTAAATTCTTGACTTTCTACTCACAAATATTTTAAATATTGTTACATTTTTTTCATTTATTTATGGGTATTTGTGGGGTATATGCATGCCATGCAAGGTTACCTGTATGGAAGATAGAATACCATTGGGAGAGTCAGATCATCAGGTTAGAGGCAAGCGTCTTCAGTTGCCTTCTCATCAGCCCAAATAACAAAGTAATGTCTTGCTTTATTGTTTGTGTCACATATATTTTACGTGCAGACTTTAGACTTACTCAACTGAGAAAAAATAAAACAAAAGTATTAGCCATATTTAAAATAAGTGAATTAAAACAAAAATAACATTAATAATTGTTTGGTACATATATGTATGTGTGTGCACATGTATATACATAAACACTTTCACTCTGTATAGTGGTGCAGTATATGTGTTTGCAAGAATGATCATTTGATATTGAATAATAAATTGAATTTTCAAGAGACATAGAAGAATACACAGTAGAGCCTGGATAGAGGAAATAAAAAAGTGGACTTGATATGACTATATTATAATCTGAAACATAGCAATGTTATCTAAAAAGAATAACTGGGATAATGACTCCTAGTTTTCTATGGCCAGTCTTTGGTGTAGGATTTGCATTAGTAATGGCGTCTCCTGTTGCTGTTATGTGTCACCTGATTTTTCTCCACCCGCTCCAAACATTCAAAATCCATAATTATGATGTGTCATATCTCCAACACACATTTTCTTTCTTCTCTTACCTGTCCTCTGTATAAGAGTTTATGCTTTACATGTGTGTGCCCTTGTACCTAGGAGAAATTCTGAAGACATGTCCTGAGAAGGTTACTGACCTGGGTACTAATGCTGGATTACTGGTAAATTTCAACACTAAAGAACAGCAAATGGTACTCTGTAAAAATTATTTGCATGTGTTAATAAATCACTCAGCATTCTATATGCTTGTGGTGAGCACAAAAACAATTGTAAAACAGAGCTTGTCATAGAAAAATAGTAACGTACTTTTATGGTTATCTGATAAAGAGATAGTGACATTGGGGAACACATATGCAAGAACATGGCAGATGCCCAGAACTGCTTGGCATCGAGTAAAAATGAGACCAGAAGAATCCTCTGCTTCCTTATTACCTTTCAAATATAAATGCTTATAAGCTGTCCAATAAACATGAAGTATAAATGGAAACCACAATCACCAGCTTTATTTTATACCTTCAAAACACTTTCCCTGTTCCTAGGTACCTGCATGATTTGTCTGTTAAGTCATGCAATACCGTGTGATCTGTATCACAAATTAAAAGGCGATGCCAGTAATAGACAAACAAGCCAAAACAAATTACCAGATGTTACGTAAGTCCTCAAATGAGAGAAACATAGTACACAAAGGAAAAGGGACAGCTTGATTGGAGCCTGCCTAAGCCAATAGGTGTAGGCTCCATGTAAGTAGGCCTATGTGAAGTCTACTTCTCTAAGAGATAAACAAGGAAAAGGACTGGTAGGAAAAGTCAACAAGGACAAAACAACAAGAATGTTTGTAAGGAGCAAAGCCAAGGCAACTGTACAGAGGAGAAGGACTTGGATTTTGATCTGATAAGATGCTAGAACAGGGGGAGTAATGAATCTTAGCTATGTTTCTCGATCCTATCCAACATGTACACATCCAGAAGGGACCTGATATGGAGACCATACAGAGAATACTAATTAGATGGAATAAGAATGTCTGGTGACTGATCTGGACTTAAGAACAGAGCCACAAATACCACAAAACCACTGACACAAAACCACAAACCACTGGGCACATTAGGACACTGGGCTGTCTACCTAGATAGACATAGACTCCTGCCTGATAATTCACCACTGTCTGTCTACTCCCTGGCACAGCACTTACTTACAGCAGACTCTCAACAAGTGTGACTGTTGAAATGAATAAAACATTATTCTTAGAGATGATAGATTACAATTGTTCATACTGGCAAAGCTGCCAAAACCATTTTTTAAAATACCGTCTTCATCATCGTGCCTTGTGAATAAAGAAGAACATCTTACAACATCTTTTTTTTACATCCTTGAACAAAGATTTCACTGTAGAGGAAGGAAAATTCTATATGTCCTCTCAGAAGATGTTTCTAACAGTTATCTTTGAACATGAAATCTGCACTTTCATTTTACACATTCACTTTCTGTAAAATGAATACACATGGGTAATGGTCTCAGATCATTTCTCACTGGTTCATAAATATGCATTGTGAAGAGTTACAGCAGAAATTATTTTGTTTCCAATGTTTAGAAACTGCCATTTTGGCAGGTAATGTTACAACACAGCTATTTTCAAGAGGGCAGATACCTGGAATTATTAAGTATTTGCTATGGACTTTACTTAATACAAAGTCACAGAAAGAATTGTATTTTGATCATGTTTTAACTTTAAAATCTTCCAGTGGCTCAAGGCAGATGTAACGTTAGTGTGCCCCTTGATTATTCCAAAAGACATAAATAGTGTAGACTTGCTTAAAGCTGTCATGAAGAGTCCTATTATACAGGACTGATACAAATGCAGGATGCTAGATTAATTTTGCCAAAGTTACAGATGTATAAACACAACAGATATGCACGGTTAGCAAAAGCTCTACAGAGAGCACAAAGCCAAACAAGAAATTAAACACCAGCCTCTCTGCTTAGTCTTAAAAACTCTATGGGACTCTGGAGAACATGAAACTCATTGAGTTGTCTGCATTCAACATATACTAGGTCCCCCAGAAGTGTCCATCTCTTTCCTCCATTCCACATTTTAGCTTTTGAGAAGCCTCAAGACCACAAAAATTCAGTCACTTATTTATGGTCACAACCTTTAAAAGCAGCACACTGAAGAATTCAAACATGTTTACATCAATTATCTTGTTATTTTAAACTAACATGAAAACCATACCTCCAGAATCTCCCCTAGTTATTCTAACCCAAGCCAACTGTGCGCTACAACATCTTCTGGGTTAGGCTTATACAAGGATCTTATACTAGTGTTTAAACTTGTGAGAAAAAATACCTTTAGAATAAATCCACTCCCTTCAGACCCTGTGAGTCTTCAGAAGTCTTCAGTTCCCTTGTTTGTTCACATCCCCTGCCAGGTACCTCATAAGATCATCTCCCTATGAAGTAGCCCCAATTGAAGGATGAAAATGTGTCTTATTCACTATGAAACCAAGAGAACATCACGAACCCTCCTGAAATATGTGAAATATGTATAAGTTCATTGCTCAGATAAAATGTCACCTCTTACTAATTATTTTTAAGTGAAATACAAGATATATCTTGAATTTATTTCCCATAGAATATATTACTGAAAGACAGAATAGCAAATGCTTTATTTTATATGCACAACCTTGGATCATCAAGCCTTAGGTGTTCCTCCTTTTTCTCTAATTGATCCCTCATGTCTAAATCTACAGAGACATAGCCTTGGCCATTTCTCCTGACTTGGCTGCTCAGAGGTAGCTCAGATCTGGACTTACAGAAATAAATACATGGCAGCCACCACTCCTGGATTCACAGGATGCCTGAGAATACACTAAGGATGGTGACTGTATTATTCTAGAATACGACTTGCAACTTGTAAGGGATGTTAGTCGATAGCTAATAATGCCCCTCATTTTTAAAAGTTGGGTCCCAAAGGAGTACAAATGGATATACTGGAAAAATGCTCTAGATAGAAATTCTACTTTATTCATAGTCTTGTAAAGTGGATATTCAGACTTAGGGTCACACAGGCTGACAGACCCGCCACTGATTAAAAAAACAATTGGCTCAAATTTTAAGACAAATGAAATACTGTGGCCTAATACCTGCAGAAGTTCCTTTATTGTACAGGGTTGTTTGAGCTATCCAGGGTCTTTTGTTTTTCCATATAAAGTTGAGTATTGTTCTTTCAAGGTCTATGAAGTATTGTGCTGGGATTTTTATGGGGATTGCATTGAATCTGTAGATTGCTTTTGGTAAAATCGACATTTTTACTATGTCGATCCTACCTATCCAAGAGCATGGGAGATCTTTCCATTTTCTGATGTTTTCTTCAATTTTGTTCATTGAAGATTTAAAGTACTTGTCATATAGATCTTTCACTTGTTTGGTTAGTATTACCCCAACATATTTTATGCTTTTTGGGAAGGGCAGTGTTTCTCTGATTTCTTTCTCATCCTGTTTATTATCTGTATTTAGGAGGGCTACTGATTTTTTTAGTTAATCTTGTATCCTGCTACATTACTGAAGGTGTTTATAAGTCATAGGAGTTCCCTGGTAGAATTTTTGGTGTCACTTATGTATGCTATCATATCATCTGCAAATAGTGAAAGCTTGACTTCTTTTTCCAACTTGTATCCCCTTGATCTCCTTTTGCTTTCTTATTGTTCTAGCTAGAACTTCAAGTACAATATTAAAGAGATGTGGAGAGAGTGGACAACTTTGTCTTATTCCTAATTTTAGAGGAATTACATTGAGTTTCTCTCCTTTAAGTTTGATGTTGGCTGTTAGCATGCTGTATATTGCCTTGACTATGTTTAGGCATGTTCATAATGTCCCTGATCTCTCCAAGACTTCTATCATAAAGGGGAATTGGATTTTGACAAATGCTTTTTCAGCATCTAGTGAGATGATCATGTGGATTTCTTTTTTAAGTTTGTTTATATGGTGGATTACATTGACAGATTCTCATATGTTGAACCATTCCTGTATCTCTGGGATGAAGTCTACTTGGTCATGGCAGATGATTTTTCTAATGTGTTCTTGGACTTTATTTGCCAGTATTTTGTTGATCTGTAGTTCTCTTTCTTAGTTGTGTCTTTGTGTGGGTTGGGTACCAGGGTAATTGTAGCCTTGTTAAAAGAGTTTTCCAATGATCCTTTTGCTTCTATTGTGTGGAACAATTTGATGAGTATTGGTATAAGCACTTCATTAAATTTCTGGTAGAATTCTGCACTGAAACCATCAGACCCTAGACTTTTTTGATTGGGAGACTTTGGATGACTGCTTCTATTTCATCAGCAGTTATAGGTCTATTTAAATTGCTTAGCTGCTCTTGATTTAATTTTGGCAAGTGCTATCTATCCAGAAAATTATCAATTTCCTTTCAATTTTCCAGTTTTGTGGAGTACAGATTTTCAAAATATGACCTTATGATTCTCTGGATTTCCTCAATGTCCATTGTTATGTCCCCCTTTTCATTTCTGATTTTGCTAATTTGCATATTCTCTGTCTGCCTTTTGAT